CAGAATCCTAATAGCTAATATAAGGGTACTTCATATAGATGTCTTCATATAGAGTCTGTTGGAAACAGCTAAACAACGGTAAATAAGGAATCAGCTTAATTTCACAAAAGAAGATTCATAGTAGTATTATAGACTGAATGTATAGGTCTCTTATCAGTTCTTTTCCCTTCCTCAGGGAAGGTTAGCTTTCAATGACTCTTGATAATTTGGGGATTATCCATCCAAGAGGAAAATGACTAAGGGCATGAATAGGTAACACACTAAAAGAAAAAATACAAATGACCAATAAGCATAAGAAAGATAGTCAACCTCACTTGTTATCAAATAAATGAAATTTTAAAAAAACTATGTTAACCTAGCATGTTGACAAAAATTTAAAAAAAGAATCTTCAGTGTTGGAGGGAAATGGGCACATAGATTCTTGGTGGGAGTAAATCAGCCCTGTCTGGCCACAGGGGAGTTAGGCGTTATGTACCAAAATATGAATTACACACATCCTTTGACCCAACAAGTCTGCTTTTAGGCATGTATACACAAAGATGTATGCATAAGAGTGCTTGTCAAAGCTTTGTGGTTTATAATAGGAACAAAGGCTGGAAATAACCTATATGTTCATCCATAGGGGGCCAGTTAAATAAAGGAATACTCTTCAGCCATTGAAAGTAATGAGGTATATACTTCTATTTTTAGATAGAATGTTAAATTAAAAATTATGTTATAGAACAGCAATGAATTTTATATACATACACACACAATATATAACCTATAAAAATACATTTATCAGTGAACTCATTTTCCACAAAGGTGTCAAGAACATACCCTGAGGGAAAAGACAGTCTCTTCAATAAAGAGTTCTGGGAAACTGATATCTGTGTGCAGAAGGATGAAACTAGATTCCCATCTTTCACCATATACAAAAATGAAATAAAAATGGATTAAATACTTACAGACCTCAAACTAAGAAAACTACTACAAGAATACATTGGGGAAACTCTCCAGGACGTTGGTCTGGGCAAAAATTTCTTGAGTAATACCCTACAAACATAGACAACAGAAGCAAAAATGGACAAAGGGGATCACTTTAGTTAAAAAGCTTCTGCACAGCAAAGGAAACGATCAACCAAGTGAAGAGACAACCCACAGAATGGGAGAAAATATTTGCAAACTACCCATGTAACAAGGGATTAATAACCAGAATGTATAAGGAGCTCAAACAACTCAATAGGGAAAAAAACTAATAATCTGATTTAAAAATGGGCAAAAGATTTGAATAGACATTTCTCAAAAATCAGACATACAAATGGCAAACAGGTATATGAAAAGGTGCTCAACATCACTGATCATCAGAGAAATGCAAATCACAACTACAATGAGATATCATCTCACTCCAGTTAAAATGGCTTTTATCCAAAAGACAGGCAATAACAAATGCAGGAGAGGATGTGGCAAAAAGGGGACCCTCTTACATGGTTGGTGGGAATGTAAATTATTAGTACAACCATTATGGAGAACAGTTTGGAGGTTCCTCAAAAAACTAAAAATAGAGCTACCATATGATCCAGCAATACTACTGCTGTATATATACCCAAAAGAAAGGAAATCAGCATATCAGGATATCTGCACCCCCATGTTTGTTGCAGCACTATTCACTATAGCCAAGATTTGGAAGCAACCTAAGTGTTCATCAGCAGATGAATGGATGAAGAAAATGTGGTACTTACACACAGTGGAGTACTGTTCAGCCATAAAAAAGAATGAGACGCTGGGATAACTGGCTAGCCACACACAGAAAATTGAAACTGGAAGGGTCCTTACACCATAAACAAAAATTAACTCAAGATGGATTAAAGACTTAAATGTAAAACCAAAAGCTATAAAAATGCTGGAAGACAACCTAGGCAATACCATCCAGGACACAGGCACAGGCAAAGATTTTGTGACAAAGACGCCAAAAGCAAGTGCAACAAAAGCAAAAGTTGACAAATAGGATTTAATTAAACCAAAGAGCTATGCACAGCAAAAGAAACTATCAACAAAGTAAACACAAAACCTACAGAAGAGGAGAATATTTTTGCAAACTATGCATATGACAAAGGTCTAATATCCAGCACCTACAAGAAACTTAAATTTACCAGAAAAAAACTCCATAAGAAAGTGGGAAAAGGACGTGAATAGACACTTTCTTTTTTCTTCTATTTTTTTTTTGAGATGGAGGCTCGCTGTTGCCAGGCTGGAGTGCAGTGGCACACTCTTGGCTCACTGCAACCTCTGCCTCCCGGGTTCAAGTGATTCTCCTGCCTCAGCCTCCTGAATAGCTGGGACTACAGGCATGTGCCACCATGCCCAGCTAATTTTTGTATTTTCACCAGAGACAGGGTTTCACCATGTTGGCCAGGATGGCCTCGATCTCTTGACCTTGTGATCCTCCTGCCTCGGCCTCCCAAAGAGCTGGGATTATAGGCGTGAGCCACTGTGCCCGGCTGAATAGACATTTTTTAAAAGTAAGACATACATGCAGCCAACAACTATATGAAAAAAACCTCAACATTACTGATCAGTAGAGACATACAAATCAAAACCGGTGAGATACCATCTCACACCAGTCAGAATGACTGTTACTGAAAAGTGAAAAAATAACAGATGCTGGCAGGTTGTGCTTATACACTGTTGGTGGGAGTGTAAATTAGGTCAGCCAGTGTGGAAGACAGTGTGGCAATTCCTCAAAGACCTAAAACACCATCTGACCCAGCAATCCTGTTACTTGGTATATAATCAAAGGAATAGAAATCATTCTGTAATATTGACATACGCACATGCATGTTCTTTGTAGCACTATTCACAATAGCAAAGACATGGAATCAACCTAAATGCCCATCTATGATAGATTGGAAAAAGAAAATGTGGCACATACACACCATGGAGTACTATGCAGTCATAAAAACAATGAAATATTTTTTGCAGGGACATGGGTGGAGCTGGAGGCCATTATCCCTAGCAAACTAACACAGGAACAGAAAACCAAATACCACAAGTTCTCACTTATAAGTGGGAGCTAAATGATGAGAACACATGAATACATAGAGGGGAACAACATACACTGGGGCCTTTTGGAGGGTAGAGGATCAGGAAAAATAACAAATGGGTACTAGGCTTAATACCCAGGTGATGCAATAATATGTACAACAAACTCCCGTGACACAAGTTTACCCATGTAAAAAACCTGCACTTGGACCCCTGAACTTAGAATAAAAGTTAAAAATATGAGATCTTGTTACTTGCAACACCATGGATGGAACTGGGGGGTCATTACGTTAAGTGAAATAAACCAGGCACAGAAAGACAAACATCACATATTCTCACTTACTTGAGGGATCTAAAAATCAAAACAATTGAACTCATGGAGATAGAGAGTAGAAAGATGGTTGCCAGAGGCTGGGAAGGGTAGTGGGGGGTAGTGGGGATGGTTATGGGTCCAAAAAAAGAAAGAATGAACAGGACCTAGTATTTGATAGCACAACGGGATGACAATAATGGAAATTTTAAAATAAGAGTAGAGTTGGATTGTTTGTAACTCAAAGGATAAGTGCTTGAGGGGATGGATACCCCATTTTCCATGATGTGATTATTACCAATTGAATGCCTGTATCAAAACATCTCATGTATATCATATATATACCTATGTACCTAAAATTTTAGAAATTACACGAGTGTTTGCATATATTCTTTTATATACCCACAGATATATATGACTATTTTCATATTTTTTCCAATGTTGGACAAGATAATGATAATGGATTACTTTTATATTGAGGGGAAAAATTAAATGAATTAAAATATGAAGAGAACCAAATAGTGGCAGTGAAAAGGGGTAGTGGTGTCTATTCTTCTAAACATGATAGTTTACCATTATCTTAGCCATGCCAAGAGTTTTCTGTAACCTAAATATATGGCTTTACTCGATGGATTTATTTAAATAGTGTGAATTGTGAACAGGAAAATCAAGGACTATTTGCTTACAGGAACTTACAGGATTTTGTTAACTGTAGTTAAGAGTGTTTTCAAGGTAGCAACATGGTATATATATTTCATGGGGGAAAAGGACTGTCACTGTGCTAAGCTTAGCATCTTCATTTCTTTACAGAGGAAACTGATGAAAGGTATACAATATATACAGTCCTGTTTCAGGAGGCTTTTATGTAGGTTGACTCCTCTAAACTAGGCAGAGTAGTAGACTAGAAAAAAGGGAAACTATTCTAAAATGATTTTATGTTATTGTTACAATCTAGATGTTTTTACACAGATGTTTTTATACTTGTAATCAAATAACTTTGATGTAGTAGAAAGATTTTTAAAAATTTTTAATTGCATCTGTCCCACATTTGCTAATTTGCCAAGGGATGTGACTCATATAGCAAATTAAAGACAGCCTTTCACTATGCAACTTGTGTGGTAGTCTGGCCTCTTTAAGGATAAAGGGTACTACAGATCGTTAGCATGAGATCTGTTAGCTTTGAGCATCTGCCTGTCACTCTTCCTCAGTATTGTTTAAGCTCACTGCCTTGTTTAATGTGGTATCTACCTGGTTTGATATTAGTCAGTTTAGAAAAATTTTGTTGAGCAGGACTATGCTGTATTATTATCCTCTCAGATTTTTAACTTAAGGAATTAGAAGCTATGAAATCTTTATTCCAAAGCATGATAAAACATTGATCTGCAATCAGTATAGTGATCTTGTCTTTATGATAGAGCTTTTCCATTTTTGCTGATGTCACTTCCCAGAGGGAAGTGAATTTTAGTATGATGAGCAACTCCCAAAAGGGGGAAGAAAATGAGTTATTGGCTTTTCTATGCCTGCATCAATAAGTGAAGATGACTATTCCCTTATCTATACCTCTTCTTCCGCCAAGCAAAGGAACCACTCAGTGGAAGACCCCAAAGTAAATAAAGGTAAAGTTATATGACGAGGGTCTCTCATGAGGGTCTTTTGATTTGTCAAACAGGACAAGAGTCGCCTGTTTCGAGTACAGTTCAGTGGAGAGTCAAAGGAGCAGGCGCTGGAACACTGCTGCAGTTGTGTTCAAAAGCTGGCGCAATACATAACCGTTCAGGTGCCTGATGGGAACATCCAGGAGCTTCAGCTGATTCCTGGCCCACCCAGGGCAAGTGGAAGTCAAGGGAAGGACTCTGCAAAGAGTGTCCCATGGCAGGCTGGAGTAAGTAGGCTGATGTGTCGGCTATGCAGGAAACATGACAATGCAGTGCACAATGAGTGGCCAAAATGACTGGAGTTTGTCGAGTCTGTTAGGTTTGTAGTTTAAAAACATCTAACGTTGGGCGACTTTTAAAATTGAGGCCGACACTCATTGTAGCTCCCTATTCAGAAATTAGGGAGGAAGGAGTTCCGGCTGCATTCCGGGTGTCACTATAGAACAGTGGTTCTCAAAGTGTGGTCCATGAACCCCTCCCTAGGACCCTTCCAGGGGGTCCACAAGGTCAAAATTATTTTTCTTAATATTTAAAGAAATAGTATCACTTGCCTTTTTCACTGTGTCAGCATTTGAATTGATGAGACAAAGGCATCATGAGTAAGGCTGCTGCCATCATACAGATCAGGCAGTGGCACCAAACTGTGCTCATAGTCATCATGTTCCAATCATTCGCAGGAAGAACAAACTAACGAAATAACCCAGCAGTCTGCAGTACCATGGTTGTCTCAAGGGAATGCACCTGTATGACATTTGTATTTTGAACTAGCCTCTTTTTTCATAAAATACCATCATCATGTGAGAGAACAATAGACTATGGTCATTCAGATTTGGGTTATTTGGCAGACATTTTTTCAAAAATCAGTGAAATGAACTATCACTTCAGGAAAACAACTGATAGTATTTATTGAAAATGATAAAATTTAAACTTCCAAGTGAAAATTAGAATCTTGAAAAACTTGTATCTGCCACATGAGCTTCACAACTTCCCAACCTGGAAGACTTTTCTAAAGGTGCTATTAATAAATGTGATTTACTTTTTTATAAGTAATTACCTGACGAAATGTGTCAATATTTGAAAGACAGTATATTCAGTGAACCAGTACTGTCCAAATGACCGATGCCTGAATGCCACAAAATTATACATGGATAAAGAGCTATTCAAAAGTGTAAGATAGGCTAAAAGAATGTAATATAACAGTATAACAAGTTCATTGCTATGGTTTCAGATTCTATATTGCAACTTACCTTTAAGCAACTCACTCGTTGAGTTTTGGTGTTATATCAAGGAATATCCAGTTATCTGAACAGGCTATTCTAAAATACCCCTCCCTTCTCCATCTACAATTTGTGTGAGGCCAGATTTTCTTCATGTCTCCAACCAAAGCAGCACATTACAGCAGACTGAGTGCAGCAGCAGATGTAAGAATCCAGTCACCTTCTATTAAACTAGGTAGTAAAGAGATTTGCAAAAATCATGACATTTTGTTTTAGAAAAGTTATTTTCCATAAAAATGTTTTCAATATTAACATAAAGTGAGTTTACTATTTTTAATGAATAGTTTAAAATTCCATGTTAATTTCTACACAGATAAATGTAACTCAAATCAAAGTTCTTTGAAGGCCTCATAAGGGGTCTTGAGATAAAAACATTTGAGACTCATGACTATAGGATTTCTCCCAGAAATATGTGTTCTGCATTTCTTTGGCATAGTTTCAAATATTGTTGGAATAAGCACCTATATCTGCTCTTGAGATGAGATTCTGCTTTCAAGCTGGGTTTTGCATTTGCTTTGAGAAGTCATTTTTCCAAACCTGGTTTTCCATTACTTCATCCCGTTAGTTTTCCTTAACCAAAACACCTCATTTTTGCTGATTTGTCACTAAGTTTCTTTTTCTTTTTTCCTGAGACAGAGTTTCGCTCTTGTTGCCCAGGCTGGAGTATGCAATGACACGATCTCGGCTCACTGCAACCTCGCCTCCCAAGTTCAAGCCATTCTCCTGCCTCAGCCTCCCGAGTAGCTGGGATTACAGGTGTCCGCCACCACACCCAGCTAATTTTTGTATTTTTAATGGAGATGGGGTTTCATTATGTTGGCCAGGCTGGTCTTGAACTCCTGACCTCAGGCGATCCACACACCTCGGCTTCCCAAAGTGCTGGAATTACAGGCGTGAGCCATCAGGCCCGGTTGTCACTAAGTTTCCTGTTCTTTATAATTTGTCTGAGGTGAACATAAATTTTCATTATTTACTATAAAATCTTTTTCTTTAAGCAGGTGCTACATGATTTCCTCTTGAAGGTATTTAGTTTGCCAAACAGATTTTGGTGGTTTGAGTTCTTTCCCTTCATTTGATTTTCATGAAGATGTCTTAACGCCGAAGCTGCTTGCCTCACAAACCCTGGATCTAGTTTCAAACAATAATGCTCTGTCTATATTCAGCTCCTGCTGTATTTCTTAAGAATCCCCTCCCTACAAATGGGTTGGAGTGGTTACTATAAGGTATTTTATTGCTTATGATTCTTTTCCCTTCAGATTTTCATGTTTCACTGCCCAATAGATTAAGATGATAGTATAGTATACCCAATGCATGCAGTGTAACACAAACCTAGAAGGGTTCCAGAATTTGGGAACTCAGTCTGGAATTCCTTATAAAGGTAATGAAGTCACATCACGCTAGAACCTTGTCAGGTTACACAATTACCTAAGCATTACAAAGGCAAATAAATTGAAGTTGTAACATGCAGTAACAAATGCAGGCTGAGTTGTGAGTTACAGCCCCAGATGAAGGCTCCAGCTCTCTGATGTTAAAGACTGATCCCAAATGTCTAGGTAGAAATACCTGAGAAGTGGTTAGGAAACTTGCATGCCTTTGTTGATTCTATTTTCAGGGACTCTTCTGAACTGTAATTGGGTGATTTGACTAAGATAGCATGATATTGTACAAAGACCACAGGCTTTGGTATCAAGATGGATCTAGGTTAGAATCCTGACCCTATTTCTTAGCAGCTGTGTGATCTCACGGAAGCCAATTAGCTCCATCTGTAAAATGGTGAGATTAAAATGCTGTATAGAGAGCACCCAATACAATGCCTGGCAAATATAATCACAAAATCCATCATTACTATTATTGCCCTCAATGTTACCCATTCAGATGTGCCTTCCCTTGCAAATGAACAAATCAGCATCCTGGCCAATTAGCAAGGATCAGAACCTCCAGAGCCAAAAGAGGGCATGATAAGACAGTGTATGAAGCTGCAGAGCAGATGACAAGTTAAAGTCACTGGATTAAATTCCACCAGGGTACAGACCTTGTGAGGCACCACCTAAACATTCTAGTTTTCCTAATGGCAAAACATAAGGTTTGCCCTTAACTACTGATGTACAAATTTTGGTAGCATGTGCTCTTTCTCAGAATCTATCTTAAGAGGTACAAGCCATGGCCAAGTTCTGGTCATTTTGCTGCTCTCTTACATTCAGGTGTGTCATTTTTGTAATACCTGTAATCTTTTAGTATAAGAGTTGTTTCCTTCTTTGCAAATAGAATTCTATTTCAAGTTCTTGAGTCATTTCCTGGCTCATATTTTAGTTTTTGCTTTTCCTTAGCCTTGTAATTTGGTTAATTGTGGCTTAACCAGGCATTTCTCAACCTTAGCACTTCAAAGGCAACCAGCCCACCCTGGGGAGGGGGATGGGAAAGACAGGAAAGAGGATCGCAGTTCCTATGTGAGCTCTTTCCTGTTAGCACAAAAAGTCCACAAGAAAGTAGCTAGGGGACTCCAGCTACTATGTGCGCAGACCCTTCCATCTCTATGCTGTTGCAGGGGTGGACCATCTAATCCTAGAGCCCACTAGCCTCAGGTGGTTCAGTGCCACTTAGCTATTTTTTACAGTGTTTATGGCAATTTTGGTTGACATCTTAGTTCTTTGTGTGAGCTGAAATGATACGTATTCTAGGAAAGCATCAAATGTGATAGCTGAAGAAACACTAGGCACTAGAGTCTGCCTTGTGTTTACAGAGGAGAAAACTGAAGGAACTGAAGAAAGAAATGCGGATTGTCTAAGGGCTCTTGATTATAGAGTCCTTTGGCCATTTTGCTCATTTTTCATTTTCTTGTCTTTGTTCTTTCCTTCCTCACTGTACCTCCACACCTCCTTGTTGTTGTTGCTGTTCAGTGCTTCCAGGTCTGCTTTTCTGCTACCTACTGACTAGCAACCGTCAGCTTCTCTGTAGGACAGAAGACAGAATTTGGCATCTCCCGCCTTCGGGTAGTCAGACTTGTTGCTGATGGACAGAAGCGCCCTCCAAAGAGTGCCCTGTTTTCTCCCTGTATTGCACCATCAGCTCATACCTAGTGCAGGAGCACCACTGCTCATCTGGAGATTAGCACTGCAGCAGCCTCAGGTACCCACAGCAGCCTCAGGTACCCAAAGCATAGTGGGGCCTGCAGACATGTGGCTAGGAAGGAACGGAGGTAGGGCCCTTCATGCCTCCAGACTTCCTGTACCTTGTTCATTCTATTTCCCTGGAAAGCATCCCATGTCCTACCTGAGAACAACTTATTACCACAGATTCTCTCCAGATAGCATGGACCTTACAGCATCCCTGTACTTCCTGCTTAGCATACAGCTCTCCAGTTTACCCACTTCTCTGTGAACCTCCAGCACTTCCTGAGTTGCAAGGTAATTCATGGTTTTACTTGTTAGGTTCTCACTAGGCTGTGGGCTTCCAGAGGGCAGGACTCTATCTTGTTCTTTGTAGCTCCTATCCCTGTACCATCTCAGTGTCTAGTACGTAGGAGGCATAAACAGTCATTGAAACCAGGTATCTATAAGTTTTACTTACAGAAGAATTCATTCCTTCAGAATATCTAAAATGAGATTTTTTTTAAAAAATCATTTTACTGAAAACATCAGTTGTCTTAAAATTATAGGGGTTTCCCTCCATTTTGCATTTCTGCAATGAACATGCATTACTTGAGCAATAATTTTTAGAGGGTGAAAAATCATGATCAGAAGCTGGGGTCCGTCCACTGCATGCAGGCTGCCATGGTAACAGCACCTGGCCAGCCCTCCAGGGCCTATGCGTGGTCCTGAATCCTAGGCTGGGCCTCTGACAACAGAAGAATGCCCCAGTAGAAGCAGCACTAACAGCCTGCCAACGGCTGAGGAACATCAAATAGAAGTCAGGAGCTGCAAATTTAAACTCAGTACTTCTGCTGTGGTAACTCAAGTAACCCTCCATTTAAACTGAGACAGACCTATGCTGACAATCATTTTAACCACTCTTAGTGGTATTTTCTTTCTTTGAACATGAATGCGTATTTCTGCTTCTCTAATGTCCTGTGGTATGCAAGATTCCATTCAGCTAGTCTCCTTATTGCATGTTGTTTTATTCCAGTCCCACCAGCACTCAGAACAGCAAGTGCGTGGAACAGCGGGCACAGGCGCTCCAGACGGAAGGACCTCACTGACGCAGTTAGCTCAGGTAGAGCTTATTTCTGTGTTTAATTTTCTTATCGTGAAAAGCAGTGACCCCTAAGAATTTGTATCCCTTTGTTCACTTCTTTGTTTTAGGAGAGAAACCTAAAGCATTACTCTAAAAGGTGATAAAGACAGAGACAGGGCCATGTTCATCTACCCCTTGCAGAGTAAGTTTTATTACAGTAAGCTGTGAGGTGAGACGTGATGGCTGCAGGCACATAGTCAAGATCTACCCTCCAAAGGAAATAAAAAGAGGAAAAGTGGTTGAATGTCCAAGACAGAAAATTTAATCACCACTTTCCCAAAAAAGAAGAATAAATGAAGGACTCCATTGTAATTATGGAAATGAAATTTGGGAACTATTTTAAGACAAATATCAAAATGAATGTGGATTCAGATCTACAACAGTTTCTATATGGGCAGATTGGCAGTACTCAGCTAAGGACGTGTAGAAACCCAGGAGGATTCAATTCTGTTACCTCAGACTTGCTTTCAGACAGCCCCTTGCCCCCTGCTGCAAAACCTCTTCATTCAAAACTATGGTTGTGCGATGTCTACTCTCCTGGGAGCTCTGCAAGGACTTTGTCTCCCCCTCACTGCATTCCTCATTGCAGGTGTTCAAGCCAGCAGCTTCTGCTTTCCACAGAATTCTGCATGGAGTTCATCAATCTTCAAGTATGATTTTTTTTTTTTTTTTTTTGAGACAGGATCTCACTCTGTTGCCCAGGCTGGAGTGCAGTAGCACAATCTTGGCTCACTGCAACCTCCGTCTCCTGGGTTCAAGCGATTCTCCTGCCTCAGCCTCCTGAGTAGCTGGGATTACAGGCATGTGCCACCACGCCCAGCTAATTTCTGTATTTTTAGTAGAGACAGGGTTTCACTATGTTAGCCAGGCTGGTCTTGAACTCCAGACCTCAAGTGATTCCCCGACCTCGGACTCCCAAATTGCTGGAATTACAGGTGTGAGCCACTGTGCCCGGCCGAATTTTCTTTTAATTCCTCTACTAAACTGTGCTATCAGTAGTTTTTTTAAAAAGGTGTTTTCTCAATCTGGCTTGCCACTAACTCAAAAGAAATGGACAATCATATAGAATAAAAAACTCAAGAGGTAGGAAGACCAAGAATTCATGTTTATTTCTTTTAATAACCTGGTAACTATGAAAAAAAATTATTTGTCCCGCAGCAGAACTGACTGAATAATGCCCATATTTGCACTGGAGTTAGGGGCTAACTGAATCAGATAAGCTGACGAACACAGAGCTGCAATAAAACAATAAACAAGGCAGGGTGTGATGTCCTTATTTAGGAAATATCAATTGCTAGAAAAGGTATACCTTACCCAGTTTATTTACGTAGTATGGAAGAACGATATACAAATGAGAAAAAGCATGAAGCTTGCAGCTCAGATACATTACTTATTTGCTCTTATCTTTTGGACATGTCATTCTATGTAAGTTGGTAAAACCTTTTGGAAGGCAATTTAGCAGTACATATCAAATTTAATATGTTATCTATAACTTCATTTCAACTACACAGATATACATATGTTCATCACAATGCTTGTTAAGAAATTGGAAACATAAATGTTCATTTAATAGGATACTAAGTGTGGTATAATCATAGATGGGATAGAAATGCAATTAATACAAGGGATGTAGGCCGCACATGGTGGCTCACACCTGTAGTCTCAAGCACTTTGGGGGGCTGAGGCAGGAGGATAACTTAAGGCCAGGAGTTCAAGACCAGCCTGGCCTAACATCATAGTGAGACCCCCATCTCTAAAAATAAACAAAACAAGTGCTGTATATCCCAAGTAAATTTCTGTTATAGAGAATTCCTAGAGAAATATCAGTTATGTACTTACACACTAAACCCTGCTATCCACAGAAATAATAAAACCACCTACCTCATAGAATTAATGTGAGGAATCAATAAGATGACCGAGTCAATGCACCAAAGTAAGTGGACCACACAGAACTGGAGCCCATCATCATCATGTGGGGCTGTGGATCCAGTGTTGCCAGATCTTCCAAATTGTCAAGATTTTTATTTGAACTCTCCTAATATTTAAATGTTGGCAACTAATTCAACTGGTTTTAAAACACTGCAGGTTACCAAAGAAAACATACAGATGACAAATAAGCATGTGAAAAGTTCAACATTATTAGTCACTAGGCAAATGCCAATTAAAACTACAATGAGACATCCTGCAAACTTATTAGAATGCCTAAATTAAAAATAAAAACTGACCATACCAAACCCTGGATGGGTGAGCAACTAGAACTCTCATCTACACTGCTAGTGGAACGTAAATGGGACAGCCACTCTAGATGACAGTTTGGCAGTTTCTTACAAAGTTAAATATACACTCACCACATGACTCAATCCCAGGTGTTTACTGAAGTGAAATGAAAATCTGTGTTCACACAAAAACCCGTAAGTGAATGTTTATAGCACCTTTATTCATAATTGCAAAAAATAAAACCACCCAAATGTCCTTCAACTGGAGAATAGATAACCAAACTGTGGCACATCCATGCAATGTAATACTTATTCAGCAATAAAAATGAACTACTGAAATACTCAACATCATGGATTAATCTCAAATGTATTCATTATGATAAGTGTAAGAAGCCAGATTCAACATATGTTTCATTTATATGACATTCTGGAAAAGGCAAAACTATATGGAGAAGAGATCAGTCGTTGCTAAGGGTTAAGGGTTTCACGGCAATGGTTAGCACGAGGGTCACATAAGGGAGTTTTTTAGGAAGTGAAAGAAATGTTGTGTATTTTGATTGTGGTGATAGACAACGATTTGTCAAAACTCATAGATGGCCAGAAAAAGACACGTGTGAACTAATGTCCTTTGGGCAGTTTGTGGCCTCTTTCTTATATTCAGAATGCAGCTAGCACATAGACTGCTCACATCCACTCTGCCACCTATGCTGTGGGGAAGATGAACTAAGCTAGTGCAGCTCATTCATTGACAGGTTTATTTTCAATCCACAGGTTATCAGCACAGTATTCTTCATTAAAGTAGAATCTCAACTTTGCAAACATTTAATCAGTATATTTGAAATTCTTTCCTTAAGGCAACAAGATTATGTCACATGCTATGTGTATTCAGAAAACATATTAATATACAAAATTGTAAATGTAACAGTAAAACTACGTAAAGGAAGCCTGTAAAGCTAATTAATACTAATTTTTTTTGGTGTGTATTTCTCTAATCTTTCCTTAAAGCACTATTTGCCTGTGTTCTATTAGCCAAGTATTGCTGACCTGTAATCTGTAACTACTTTTCTGGTATCCCTGCAGACTCTTCTGGCCTCGGAGGAGCTGCCCCGTGTCTATGAACAATCTGCATGGGGTGCAGAAGAGTTAGGCCCCTTCCTGCGTTTGTGCCTTATGGATCAGAATTTCCCAGCATTTGTGGAAGAGGTAGAAAAGGAACTTAAAAAGCTAGTGGGGTTGAGAAATTAATGCTCTGTATACATATATAACTAAGGAACTTCAAAGTATTGAAAAATGCTTCCTCCTAAAATTAAAGAAGATATTAGAATAAAGAGCATTATTCCAAACACCTTTTATCAATGTTTTATTTTTAAAAACAGGTGAATCCACTTTTATACATCATTGCACTTCAATAATTACACAAAACACAAGTACATGCATCTACAGTTACGCACCGCATGAGAACCCTGTTAGGTTATAAAATCTATCATCAACCAGTAAATCAATGTGAAAAAATACAGTGTCAAACCAAAAAGTATAACTATAGTTGCATAGAATATCACCATGCTATAACATTTCAAGGTCATTGGAAACAAAAGAAAAATTATAAAAGTTTGCCTTGATTGAATGTACAAGAATAAGGTTCAACACATCAGTGCAAAAGGATTTATGAATTTACATGACTTAACAAAAGAAAAGATAATCACTTAAAAAGCAATCATACGTATATACTGCAATTCATTATACCCATTCAGTGGACTGTTCCAGCTTATTAAAGTCACAGGTTAAGCCCTTAAAATTATAGATTTCAGTTTATATTACTCATCTTTATGTACCAGAACTGCACAATTTCCTCATGACAACATACAATAAGGAATGAATATCAGCAGCTTAAAAATGAAACAAGCATTTACTTTATTTTGGATTTCTCCCACCCCCAAAAATATAAATATATATATATATATTTATATACTGTATATATCTGTAGGTTTTGCTGTACTTTACAAAAATGTATCACTAGATGGCAGCAGTGCATTTTAGAGCTTTGCCAATTTAACAGCTGCATTAAGTAAAAAATGGCGCATGCATGATCTGATCCTCAGAGGACCTTTTCACTTCTATTTAAATATTTTAACAAAGGAAAAAAAGCAACATTCACAGCACATCAAGCCCAAAATAGTTTACACCTTCTACACTGAAGCATTGTTTAAAATGTACCTGGCTAGATCACCCTTACAGGAGAGGCTAAATAAGGCATGCTTTAGACAGTCATTGTGGTGTTGCTCACTTGAAAGGGGAGAGAACCAAAGAGGTCCAAGCAGAAAATTTAGCAGGTCATGTTGCCACCAGTTTCAGGAACCTAAAGATCTGTAAAGAAATATGTATTTGGAAATTATAAAGGGAATATGCACTGTCACTCACAACTACACCGTGTGCCACACAAAGCTTTGGTTCAAACAGCATACTCAAGGATGTAGTGTGAAATTCTGATCTCCATGTGCCTAACAAGATGACATTCTGGCCCTGCTGCTGCCTGGCCACCATTCTTGTCTTGCCCCTATATGTGAGGTAAGACTAGCAGGCCTCTGGGAATAATCCACCTAAGAAGGTGACAATTTCACCTCTTTGTAAAGATATAATGTGGAAAAGTATTTATTTTAAAACATGTCTTCTGAAATGGCATTTATATAAACGTGACAATGCACCTGATGGCAGAGCGCAGTGGCTCACGCCTGTAATCCCAGCACTTCTGGGAGGCTGAGGCAGACGGATCACTTGAGGTCAGGAGTTCAAGACCACCCTGGCCAACATGATGAAACCCTGTCTCTACTAAAAATACAAAATTTAGCTGGGCGTGGTGGTGGGCACCTGGAATCCCAGCTACTTAGGAGGCTGGGGCAGGAGAATTGCTTGAACCCGGGAGGTGGAGGTTGCAGTGAGCCAAGATCAGGCCACTGCACTGCAGCCTGGGCAATAGAGTGAGACTCCATGTTAAAAAATCCAAACAACAGCAAAAAACGCAGCTGAAAAATGTTCCTTTCCAGTCCCTAAACTGGGCAGACAGAACTGGCTTCATCATTATCAGCTGCTCTGAAATGAATTAAAAGATTTTACAACATAACACCAATTACTGAAGAAGTTGTAAAAAGGTCAATAGAAGTACATTCATTTGAATATAATTTTAAAAACTGCTAAAGAAGGCCATACTTACATTGTAAGCAGTACTTAATTTGTGTTTCTCTGGCGCAAGTTTTTATCTTTGTGATTGTTGGTAGAGTTGGTTTTCCTTTGGAGGAAAAATTGCATTACATGAGTTAAACTCAAGTCAATAACTTTTGAAAGTGTAACACATGGAAATTCACTTACTGCCATCCCTGGTGTTGTAAGAAATTTTGTGGCACAATATGAGTGCATTAAAAAAACATTAAGTAGCTACAGGTGAAGTATCCCTCCTCTGAAATGCTTGGGATCATAAATGTTTCAGATTTTGAATTTTTTAGATTTTGGAATATTTGCATTATACTTACCAGTTCAGCATCCCTAATCTGAAAACCCAAAATTCAAAATGCTCCAATGAGCATTTCCTTTGAGCATCAAGTGAGCACACAAAAAAACTTCGGATTTTGAAGCATTTCAGATTATGGATTTTGGCAGTAGGTAGACTCAACCTGGATATACCTCATTTTATCCTCCTTTTGACCCCCAAGGCAGACAAGTACTTTCCCTTTGATTTCTGAACTATAATTGCTATACAGGTGAGAATATGTAAAACTTTTCTCCACTGAACACACCACCACTATCCCTTCTCAACTGATAAAAGGTAATCATGGCCAGGCGTGGTGGCTCACACCTGTAGTCCCAGCACTTTGGGAGGCCAAGGCGGGTGGATCATGAGGTCAGGAGATCGAGACCATCCAGGCTAACACGGTGAAACCCCGTCTCTCCTAAAAATACAAAAGATTGGCCGGCAGTGGTGATGGGCGCCTGTAGTCCCAGCTACTCGGGAGGCTGAGGCAGGAGAATGGCGTGAACCCGGGAGGCGGAGCTTGCAGTGAGCTGAGATTGCGCCACTGCACTCCAGCCTGGGTGACAGAGCAAGACTCTGTCTCAAAAAAAAAAAAAAAGGTAATCATAAGCTGGCAGTGCTGGGCCCTCTGGTACTTAACAAATTTGGGTGCTGTTTGTCTGCTTCTCACTCTTTAGTCCAACTCTAGGAGATTCTGCCCAGCTTAGATTGATTCCATACCTGCAGTACCCTCTCTCTTGGATACCAGCAATTGTTAATGGGGCTAGACTGTTTATCCAGGCTACAGTCCAGCCTCAAATTGCATTACATGAGTTAAACTTGGTCAATAACAACCTTTGAAAGTGTAACACATGGAAATACAGGGATTCTTTTACTGTCATCCCTGGTGTAGTGAGAAATTTTGTGGCACAGTATGAGTGCATTAAAAAACATTCCTTAAGTAGCTACAGGTTGAGTATTCCTCATCTGAAATGCTTGGGATCAGAAATGTTTTAACATTGACAAAACAGGAAGCCTCAGATATACTGGCCATTTCCCCCACATTTTAAGCATATTGAATATGCAAAATTTGAAAAAAAGTTTTCTGCATGGTATTCCACTTTGTATGGCCACTGAAAACAAGACTGCATAGCCTATCCTGAGAATCAAGTTGTTTTTAGTCAGATCTGTGTCAAGCTAAGAAATCTGCAACACTGCAACTTTCATTTCCACTCACTGTCTTCCCCTACAATCTTAGCTACTCCATTTGATTAAAGTGCAAACACAACATAATTCAATCAGATACTGTTCAATCAATGTCCAATAAAGTACTTACATTGGTCCAGCTGGTTCATCATCTACATGGTGTTCAGTTTTTTACAAATCCATGAGAGATAAGAGAAGAAAGAAGAAAACTGTTAGATTCTGCATAAGGATTAATAGAATAGCAAACTGCAAGTGGCAATCATGGCTACTCACAGCATTTATTAAAGGCCATTCCATCTGGAGGTGCAAAACACTCATGGAGTTATTATTTCTAGATTCAAGTTTAAATGGCAGGTATGTTGTTTCAATGGTTTTAGTTAACACTTTGAATGCTTGTCATGAAAAACTGCAACTGTAGCGGACAGATAGGCTGCAACATTGTTATACTCATCTTGTCCCCAAGTTCCAGTGGTTCACTCTTAAATAGATGAGAAGACAAACCAACATTTCAGTTGTAAAATCCTGCTGTTTGTTTTCTTGTGGTGAATGCATGCAGTTTTGGCTCAATCCTGCAATGTGAATGGATGTGTACAATCTGTACATTTAGCCACACATCCTCACTTCCCCAAAGGGCACTCTGTTTTTCTTGCTGTTTTGTAATCTTTAGAAGAGTCTTTAGTCTGGAGAATGAGATTGAGAAGAGGCAACCACAATAGTTCAACCTAAATTGGGTCAGCCATGCTGGGCTATGCCAGCAACAAGTGTATGTATACCAGAGGATGTTCTGTGACACACCAAGGAGAGCTGAACAGTGGTGACATCCCTCTAGAAAAGACTTCAGAAAGACAGGCTCACGCTTGTGCCCTGGCCAAAACCAGAAGCCAAACCCAGGGGAGCCATGAGATAACTTTTTTAAAATCAAAAAGCTGACATTATATGAGTTTAAGCCTTCTTAAATTGATACTTTATGGTTCTGATTTATATGTCTTTCGTGTTTCAACTAAGTGCAACTTGATCCCCTTTAAGCAGAGATATACATTCAGAGACAGAATGTTTTAAAAAGGCCCACAAGGGGAAGGGAACAAGTAAGTGCTCTTAGTTTGTTTTTATTACACAAAAGTCAGGTAGACTAAATGATTCAGAACAGTTTGATTTCACTGAAGGCTTCTAGAAAAACTCTCAGCAGGATTCCACAAGGGGGCTTGGTGCACATGAAGCAGTTATGGAGATTACAGTCTCAGTGTAGGCATCTGCAGGAGCACACGTCGGGAGTAATGTCTGTCAGAGGGAGACATTGCTCCACCTGTTCCTTCGAGGCAACGGAGAGGCAAAGCCACCGCCAGCACACACAGTGACTGGAGCAAAAAAGGATTTCAAAAAAAAGAACTAACCACAAACCAATGACTCATCAGCCAAAACAATAGGCTAGCGACACACTAGTGTCCACAGGAGTCCACTACTAACAACGGTATACACTATCAAACAGGTACAGAGAACAAACTAAGACTTAAGGACACCCAAGACATCTGTGCTGTGTATGCAGTGGAGAGATACAAAGACATACCAGGTACCAAGACACACAAGCCCAGCCTAAATTCTCCCCTCACAACATCCTAATGCTCAGCATCCCGGCCAAGTCAGCTCAGCTACATGCTAGGAACTAAGCACTTTGGGGATTTAAATGAAAAGACACAGGAGCAAACTTGGAATATTTTTAGTGCTCTGGCTGTGCACTCGAAAATACAAAATTCTAATGCAAGATAGCCGAATCAAGAATACACCAATCTACTCCCAAATTTAAAATAAAAAGCAGGGGAGGGAGAATCGCAATAGCCAGGCTAATCTTTTCAAAGCATGACACTGTAGGCACCAACCCAAGCACCTCACACCACGGGCTGTTTTTCCTTTTGGAGTGTGGGTATTCCCTGGTGTCTGATTAGTAATGTCACTTTCCAGCCCAACAAGCTGGTAACATGCAAAGGGTTG